TTGCTTGGAGTCATCATGCAACTGCTATCATCTGGTGCCTTAACTGGGCCTGGAGGGTCTCAGATGGCCCCAGTCTTGTGCTTGGGGCCTTGGCACTGGCTGTCAGCCATGCCTCTCTGCATGTGGCCTCCTCATTTAATAGACTAGCCTCAGCTTCCCTCCATGGCAGTGTCTGGGTTGGGGATGAGTGTAAGATCTGCAAGGTAAGGCCTCGGCTCTGGAATAGTGTCCGTAGTGATGCCCAGCATTGCTCCTCCGTGTTCTGCTGATCAAAGCAAGTCCCAAGGCCAGATTTGAGGGGAGGGGAAATCACACTCCACTTCGTGGTAGAAGGAGCTGCAAAATGGTGTGGCTGTGGTTTTCATTATTCCCCACCCAGGGAGGCCCTGGATCGAGCCATCGAGGAGTTCACCCTCTCCTGTGCTGGGTATTGCGTGGCCACATACGTGCTGGGCATTGGTGATCGGCACAGTGACAACATCATGATCCGCGAGAGTGGGCAGGTAGGGGCAGTGCGGGCGGCGCCATGCTGGCCTATCTCCTGGCCCTGGCCTGCCAGCCCTTCTGCTTGGCACGCAGCCCTGGGCACAGTGCCCTCAGCCCTGCTGCTTCCTCTCTGACACCTTATGTCTTTGCCCTTCCCTCCCCTCAGCTGTTCCACATTGATTTCGGCCACTTTTTGGGGAATTTCAAGACCAAGTTTGGAATCAACCGTGAGCGAGTCCCGTTCATCCTCACCTATGACTTTGTCCATGTGATTCAGCAGGGGAAGACTAATAACAGTGAGAAATTTGAGAGGTGAGGGTGCCTGGGCCCCAGGGCAGGGTGCAGGGCAGGGACTCCTGGCCCCCACCACTGGATGGCTGATGGATTTGGAACATGAGCCCCCCAACCCTGTGCCCTCATGGGACAATGTGGGGAGAAGTGTCATGGGTCATGTAGCAGGAGGCAGCCTGGGGCACAGGGACGTTTGAGGAACCAGGGACTCTGTGTGCATTTGCTTCCAGGATAAGGGCAGGCCCTGGGGGAGGGTGCCAGGGGGATGCAGACGGGCCCTCTGGCCTCAGGCTGGGAGTGGCTGGAGGTCCCGGAGCCTCACCTCTGCCTGCCCCCTGCAGGTTCCGGGGCTACTGCGAGAGAGCCTACACCATCCTGCGGCGCCACGGACTCCTCTTCCTCCACCTCTTTGCCCTGATGCGGGCAGCAGGCCTGCCCGAGCTCAGCTGCTCTAAAGATATCCAGTATCTGAAGGTACGTGCCAGGCAGGAGACCAGGTGTCACCGTAGACATCCAGGGTCTGCCCTTGAGCAGTGCAGCCCAGGAAAGCCCTGAGCACAGTGGACCCCACAGGGCCCTCCAAGCTCTGTGTTCCTTCTTCGTGCCAGCAGTGGGGTCTGGTGTGGGGTTGCGGGGAGTGGCTGGAGCAGTAGAGCCACCTGGGCTCAGTCCGCACAGTTGCGGATGTGTTGTGACCTTCCTTGGTCAACCCACTTGTCCTTGTAGGCTGCAGGTGTTTCCATGTGTACACTGGGAGGACTGGACGAGATAGGGTCCCCTCTACTTCTGTTTTTCTTATTTAATTAATTTATATATTTATTTATTCTTTTTAGAGATAAGGTCTTGCTCTGTCACCCAGGCTGGAGTGCAGTGGCTATTCACAGGTGCAATCATAGCTCACTGCAGCCTCGAACTCCTGGGCTCAAGCGATTCTCCTACTTCAGCCCCCTGAGCAGCTGTGACTACAGGCATATGCCACTACACCTGGCTTTTTTTAAATTTTAAAAATACTTTTTCTGTTTTGTATTTTTGGGAGACAGGGTCTCGTTATGTTGCCCAGGCTGACCTCCTGCCTCAGCCTTCCAAGCAGCTGGGACCACAGGGGCGTGCCACCGTGCCAGGCCTCCCTCTGCCTTTTAAGATGTTCTTCCTCCCTGTGTCTTCAGTGTGTGGGGGTGGGGGGAGGAAGGGAGGTGGGGCCACACACCTCCCCGCAGAATGAGGCTGCTCCGCCCTCCTCCTGGAGTCACTGTCTCTGATGGGGGAGGTGAGGCCACCTGCACCCCGAGGGGCTTCGAGGCCAAGACATCTTTGGCATCTCCATTTGCCGGTGGGGCAGGGATCTGTCTCAGTTTGTACTCAGGATAAAGAGCTTTTCCCAAGGGAGATGCGGGGTGGCTTTCTCCTAATGCCCGTCATGCAGGTCTGTCGGGAGGGAGTCTGAAGTCCCCAGATGGGGCTGCACGACCGAGCGGCCCGGCCCCTGCATGTTAACACTGCTGTGATTTGGTCTCAGGACTCTCTGGCGCTGGGAAAAACAGAGGAGGAGGCACTAAAGCACTTCCGAGTGAAGTTTAACGAAGCCCTCCGGGAGAGCTGGAAAACCAAAGTGAACTGGCTGGCCCACAACGTGTCCAAAGATAACAGGCAGTAGCGGCCCCACAGCCCTGGGCCCAAGACGGAGCAAACCCTCCGTCCTGGGGAGCCGGCAATGCCGGTCGTCCTGGAAGGGGCCAAAGCCTGCACTGTACCTCGTGGGAAGGAATCTACACAACTGCCTTTTGTTTACACTGGTTATTTATTTATGACTTGAAATGTTTAAGGAACTGAATAGCCATACACGGAACTGCAGCCTTGGTGCAGGAGAGCACTGGGCTTTGACAAGAGGACGCCAGGCTCCTCGAGGCTGCACCTTGCTCTTGGCTGAGGATTGTCACCGAGTCTTCCAGCTGTGGGTCTGGACCCAGCAGAGACTGTTCTCCTGGGGGAACCTTCTTCCCAGCCGCCCTGCCAGGCTGCCTGGTCATGGCCCTGGCAGTCACCTGGTGCCTGCTGTCCAGACAGGACGCCTCAATCCTCAGTGCATCCCCTGCCGCCTCGGTGGGACCCTCCGGGAGCGTCACCCATGACTGAATTCCGGCAGCTCCCGAGGAAGCCCGCGCGCCCTCCTATTCAGGGACGTTTGCTCTTGCTGGTCACTGTTAAAGTGACTCTCGGGTACGGAAATTCCCTCACCTCTGCTGTAAAGTGATTGTGTTTGCAGGTCAGAAAATAACAGCCAAATGCCTCACGGAACCTCCACAGCTTGGAAGAGCCCCATATCCGCTGGCCCTCAGGCTGTGCGAGAGACTCAGCTTGACTCAGCTGTCCTGGTCCCGAATCCAGGGGTAGGCGGGACGGCCTGCAGCATCCCTGCGTGCAGTTATCTGTAAACTGCCTCCAAAGCAGGTTTTAATGAAGGACGAGGACCAGACCGCTTGCAAACTATCGCCTTTGGGACCTGCTGTGAAAGCGATCGATCGGGTACTAGAGTGTGGCGGTGAGGGGTGTGGCGCAGTCCCCTCTCCAGCAGTAATTAGTGTGAAATGGGGCAGGCTCAGCCTTAGGCCTCACAGGCCTGGATCTGAGAGGCTTTGGAAACGCAGGTTCCGGGCCTCTCCCAGCCTTCAGAAGCCAACTCAGGAGATGGGGCTGGCACTCTGGGCTTTTAGAAGCCGGGTGACCCTAATGTGTTAGCGGCTGACTCAGGACCCCCCGGGTGCTACTGCTGCTCTCCAGAGCCTTCCGAGACTCAGACGTAGCTGCGCTCTTAGCAGCCCCGGTGCCAGCAGCAGTCAGGGCCACCCCCGAGCATCCGCCTGCACAGGCGCCGCTGACCACACTCCTGTTCCAACTAAAGTGCTAAAATTCCCCAGACCGCCTCGTCTGTTTTGAAATAGTAATAATAGCTGTGTGTATGTGTTCAGGTTATGTTATTTATTTAAACGAGCCTGTGTGCTCCTGGGCGTGGGCAACGTGCTCTGTACACCCACGGCGATCTCCGGTTGGGTGTACGGCCTGTGTGCCTGGCAAGAAGGAATTTTCTATTTTTTTAAAACCCTTTTGTGCTTCTGTATGGGGAGGCGAGTTCACTGTCGCTGATGCGGGTTGAGACTGGCACTCTGTGGAACCTTGCAATGGGCCAAAGCAGATGAGAAATAAAAATCCTTTTTACGTTCTTGTGTTCTCGGCTCGAAAAGAAACAAGGACTGCAGGATCGAACGTGAAACGAGACAGAAAACAACCCCCCGCACTGGAGTTAGAACCAGAACTTTATTGTAGCGTATACACTTTCTGACCTAGCGTCAATATACACCTCTGAAAAGGGACACCGCGGCGGTGACAGCATGAGAACGTCCCCTGTGTTAGCTCTGCCCGTGGTCTAAACAGAGCAGCTCGGGGGAGGGGCCGTGGGGATGGCCACACCCAGCACAGCCGTGGGTGTCCTCCACACTAGCAGTTAGGGTCACAGAAGAGCATCCAAAACAATTTCCCCTGTTGTAGAAATCCACCGTTTTACATGTGACCAGAAAGCAAAGTGCCGGGTAGGGTTTAGGCCAAGACCAAGACCGCCCTTTCTCCTTTCGCGGCCACCAGGCAAAGCAGCAGGGCTCCGCTACAGGGGGCTGGGGGAGGCGAGAGGACAGCACAGGCGGTTTTGGGCAAGTCCCGCACTTTGCTTTCAGGCCCCAGGGTGTCCTGTGGGTGTCGCGAGTACAGACCACTCGGGGCCTGTTGCCGTCTCCGAACCAAGCGGTCAAACGGTTGACACGACACCTGTCAATTCATGTGATCTGTACATACGTTCACCAGCAGGGAGACGTGTACCGAGTCGAAACCACAAGGCTGCACGTGACGAGTCTGGGCCACCGCACGGGGAGCTGCTGCCATTGGAGGAGTGTGTAAGAGGGCCAGGGACCCCCGCACCCCCACCCCCAGTGCCAAAATAGGAACAGGTAGAACACTGAAGACAAGACCTGGCTCCTTCCAGCCTCCAAAGAGGGGTGCCTGATCCGTCTCCTGAGCAGCACGCCGAGGCCTGCACCCCGACCGCCGGCCACACCAAGCCCTGAGCAGGGGTGGGAGGGACCTCGAGTTTTTTGAGGGGGGGGAAGAGCCCAAGTGTCTCTCCTGCGCTCAGCACCCTGACTTTACATTCCAGTCCTGGAGTACACTAGCACGAGGGACACGAGGAATCCCGATTTATTTACAAAATATTAAAAAGTCAGTTAATCGTCTACATATTAACCCCCATTCTGCCATTATTTATACATGCACTAGTTTGGAAAAAATAAAAACTTTAAAAAAAAAAAATGATTACCAGGTGGAAGTGAGCAATTTTTACCCTTTGTCACCAAGTCCGGTCATCGTGGCTTTTCTGGAGTGTGAGGGGCCAGTGTCCTCTCGCGACCAGGAGCGGACGCCAGATGCACGTGTGGGGCCCCTGGCGCTGCGGGGCCCCTGGGAGAGGCAGGCGTGGCCGGGGAGGCGACGGCGCCTCGCGGGACTGAAGAGAGCGATCCGGGCGGGGGCGGGCGGGAGCCTACGTCCTACACACCAAGCACGGCGGACGGGCAGCGAGGGGTCTGCAGACCTACTGGCCGAAATGACTTTGTACATCGTGGACCCTTGGGGCTGGGAGGACAGGAACGAGGCCTCGGGCGCGGTCAGTAGCTGAGGGTCGAGTCGTCCCACTCCAGCTGCTGCTGCCTGCTCCCGCTCTGCTGGTCGCCCTGCTCCTCCTCCTCCTCGCTGCTCTCCGACTCTGCGCTGGTGATGTCGTCCTCCTCCTCTCCGTCCTCGCTCTCCTCCTCCTCCTCTTCCTCCTCCTCCTCTTCACTGCTGTGCTGGTCCTCGTACGTCTGGCAAAGAGGAGAGACAGCCCATGAGTCCAGCCACTCGGCCCCGCCTGCAACCGTCACCTAACGTTCACCTCCCAGGAGCCACAGGAAGGGACCCTGCCCCGGTGTCTCGCTCCCCAGCCACACGGGCCAGGACGCACTGGACGCTGCCTGGTCAAGGTGAAGGGAAGACAGAGCTCTGAGCACCACCGTGGACAGCACTCTGCTGCCCCGCTGCTGAGACAGAGCACCCACCCTGGCAGGAGCCCATCTCTGCGTTTACTAGGCAGCATGACCTCAAATAAGGCCCCTTCGAGCCTCAGTTTACCCATCTGAGAAATGACACCTAACCTCCCAGGGTTATGCATGTTACATGACAATACGTAAGAGCAGGAAGGTGTTGTGGCCACGCCGGTCCTCCCAAGGCACTGGACTCACTCCTACCTCCATGGGGTTGACGGTGATGGTCAAGGCGGAGTCATCCCAGTCCATCTCGTTCTCCTTCCCGGTGTCCTGGTCCCGCATCGTGCGCTGGTGCGCGGCACGGATCCGGAACACTCCCAGGATGATCATGAAAACCAGGAAGCTGACACACACCACAATCACAACGGTCGCAGTGCTGGGGACAACTGCAATGAGGTTGAGAGACCAGGCGGAGTTTTAGGGAGGTCACATAACCCCGGGGCTATCACGCCCTTGACCCGCTCAGCTGTGCTAGGTCAGAGGGGCTGGCCAGCGTGCTGCACCTGAACCCCAAGACGGGGAAACACTAGGAAAAGCTCCGTGCGGGGCGCGCACCGCTCTGTGGCCTCAGGAGTGGAGTGCTCTTGTTCTTAGGTGTCATGGGGAGTGACCCAAGGCTGTTCTGAGCAGGACCTGTGCTCATGGCGGGGCAGGGGCCCACCCTGACCCTGCAACTGCACGGGCGCTTCTGCTCAAGTGCTTCCTGTCACCACCCTACCTGCGAACGGGTGGGGACTGGCCAGGTTGTGACCAGAGAGGTCGACGAAAGAGTGATGCTCAGGGTGCACGAACTGCGGCTGGGCGGCCATGTGGCTGGCATGGTCCACGGGGTTGGCCGTGTGGATGACGTTCACCTGCAGCGGAGACAGACAGTGTCACTGGAGACGGGCGTCCCGAACCTGTCCAGAGGGCGAGAAACGAGCTCAGCAGCTGGCGGGACCAAGGCCACTCGGGTCCCTGCACTGCTGCTGGGGAGACGGAGCTACCTACTGTCTATGACAAGAAAGGGACAGAAAAAAATCAAGAGTGAGCACTTAGGAACTGTTTCAACAATTCGATACTGTCACACATCTTAGAAATGTATCACTTTTCTAATAGTTTTTTTGTTTCTTTTTAGAGATGGGGGTGGTTTCGCTCTGTCGCCCAGGCTGGGGTGTGCCATTCACAGACGCCGTCACAGCTCACTGCAGCCTCGAACTCCTGGGCTCCAGCGATCCTCCTGCCTCGGCCTTCCGAATAGCTGGGACTACAGGTGCGAGCCACCACGCATGGCTCATTTTTCTATGTTTTGTAGAGACAGGTTCTCATTGTTGCTCAGGCTGGTCTCGAACTCCTGACCTCAAGGGATCCTCCCTCCTTAGCCTCCCAGAGTGCTAGGATACAGGCGTGAGCCACCGCATCCAGCCATAATTTATGTATTTTCATCGTATTTTAAAAAGAATCCACCCACGACAGAGTGGAAAAGCAAACCAACGGTCCTTCCTCATGGTCTCTTGGGAAATGCTGGCATAGACCTTCTTCCTCCTTTTCCCCCAAACCAGGGCCACGCGGAAGCACTAATCTCAACGATTTATTTCCTTTCAAATGTTACGCTTTGGCTCAGACGGAGCAGGCACAGGTCCTGCAGCACGGAGAATGCCACATCCGCCGCCCCGGAGCTCACGGTGGAGACGGTCACCTGCTGAGGGCACCTGTGGGTCCTCTTCTCCAGACCACAGAGGCCCCGAGCAATGGCGCGGCTGCTGTGTGGGCCTGAACATTTCGGAGCAGGACAAGCCGCCCTCTTGCCACTGTGGCTCGAGTCACCACTATAGGCCTTGGCAGCATCAGCCCTGCCCAGAGGGGTCCCTGCGTCCGCACCCCTCACCCCAGGTCGGGACCTACCTTGATTCACAACAGGGCCACTGATCTTGCAGAACTGCAAAGACCCTCAGGTTCCTTGGGTGCTACTCTTTGCAAAGCAGAGTCCTCATGGCTCTCTCTCATGTGAAACCTCAAGAAACCACCTTGTCCTATTCCTGAAGCATTAACTACCACTTGCTCTCTGTCACCTCCCTCTGAGGTTCCTGAGGCTTTGACTCTTGGGTGCCCGCTCTGCCTGGGCCCTCCCCAAGCACAACCTGTCTGAACCGGCCAGGTCTGGCCTGTGGCAGAGCCCAGCTCCCCCACCCCTGGGAGGAACGTAAATAAATAGCTGCCACCAAGAATGCTCTAAGAACTGGCGCCTGCAGGGATGAGGGCCCGAGTTACCACTGCTGCGGACCCTTCCCAGCGGGAGCCCCATACTCACCTCCACCTTAAATTCGTTGCTGATGTAGCGGCCATTCAGCTCCGAGCAGATGAGCTTGAACTTCCGGTCAAGCAAGGACCTGGTGTGCCAATTCCGATAGCGCAGGAGGTGCAAGACCTCCTCGTAGCTGGCCATGGTGTCCACGCCTGCAGGGGCCGAAGGAGAGAAGATCACCGGTGGCTTAGGTTAGGAACAGGGCAAGGCCCGAGCCGTGGGCATGGGCACCTGGGTCGGCTGGGCGTAAGGGGTCACACGTGTGGCTTTCCAGTAGCAGGAATGAACGCAGAGTGTGCAGGGCCATTTTTCCCTCTGGTGGGGGGATGTGCCATCACAAGCATCCCCCCTTGTCCTTCATAAGATAGTGTCCGCACACCCCCTTCCTGCCTAGCGGGAGGGGGTTAGCGCAGCCAGCAGCAATCTCAGCCAATGTGCTCCCTCCCCATCTCCTCCAGGAGACTCTTGACGTTCTCGGAGGCAGGAGGCAGATGGCCCAGCGCTCCCAATGTCCACTCTTACAGCCTGGCCTCTCACCTGTGAAGGTCACGCCCAGCTCTGAGCTGCTCACTTCGATGCCCTTCTGCTGCAGGCGGGCCACGTCCACCTCCAGGCTCTCTTGCTCGTGGTTCAGCTCCTCTCCCTCCACCGTGACCTCGCAGGCATCCAGGTCGTGCACCGTCTCCTCGGACACCAGTGACTCTTGAACTGCAAAAACGACCCAACCAGAAATACAGCAGAGGCTGTGGGGCTCCTTTTAAAGACCAGCACAGTGGCAGAGGAGAGCTGCTTCCTGTGTCCCAGGCGAGAATGGTGGGGACACTGCCCCCTATGTGGGCTGACAGGCCTGGCAGGAGCGAGGAGTGTCTCCTGCAACTGTCTCCCCCTTGACCTCGAGCAACATCTGAGAGCTGGACATCAGCCAGAAAGGTTGCAAGGCCCCCAGGAGGGTTTCCAAAGGCCAAACAAGCTCCAGTCCACGGGACAGATTCGGGAAGCAGACACGAACAGCAACAAAACATTGCTGTTTTATACATAAAAGCTCCCAAAACCCCACAGAGAGAAAAAGCCCCAGTAAGTCAGCGGCAGCAACAGGACTTCGCGCCGAGGCGAGGGAGGCCGTACCGCGCCAAGGGCTGTTACCTGTGGGGTCCTCAGCCCCATCCCCTTCGGGCTCCACTTCTCTGGTGATGGTGCTGATGATGCGGAGCTCGGGAAAAAGGAAAACCCCTTCTGAGCTTTCAAATTCAGAAGCTGCTCGTGCAAAGTGGTGGACGCCACTCAGGCTGATCTTGGGCTCCTCAGGCTGTAAAACCATCACGTAGCCCTCTACCGGGGGCACCGAGATGCAGGCGGCCTCGTTAAAACACCTGCCGGCAAGAGACAGGGAGGGTCAGGGCCCTGGGAGCTGGTCTCAGAGCCCACCTGTGCTGCGCGCCAAGGTGAAGACAAAGGATTCTGTAAACGCCCGAGGGGACAGACTACAGGCCACTCCAGGAATCTGCGTATATGTTACTCAGATCTCTCACCCACAGCCCCTGCTCGCCTTCCCTTACAGAAGGGAGGCCAGATCGTCTTCAAAACCTAAATACACAAGTGTCACTGAGCGGAAACGGGTTTATTGTTAAAAATCAGGACATACTTGACCGTGCTGGTGATTTTCAGTCTTCGGATTCCGGGCGTAGGGAACTGCCGAGAGTTCAGGTAGGAAACGTGCTGCATGGCCTTGTCCAACTCCCCGACGTCTTCTCCCTCCAAGGTCAACACCGACTGACTGGGGCTTGCTTGGATCTGAAATCATCGCCAGACAGAGAGAGTAAGGTTCTAATTGCAAGGAGCTAAAACCACGGGTTCTCTGGCTAGAAGGATCAGCCTAGGATCGATTTGAATTGGTGACTTGAAAAGCTCATACAATTCCAGGGAACAAGACCGTCTTTTACGGGATGGTAACATCTAAGGTGCAAACTTATCAATCACAGTTATTCCCTTATCCCACCAGCCTTTGCACTCGGGGGCCTGAGAGTGCCGGGCGGGCGAATGCTCGGGGTTACCTGCACACCACTGTCTTCGGGGACTTGCAGGTCCAGCCCCTCTTTGCAGGTATACAGACAGTCAATCACTTTCTTATCTGCGAGCTTCCCAGAACGGAGTGTCAGGCCAGCCAGGTTACCTCGGAAAAACTGGGTCATGTGCTGGTCACCACCTTTGGACGGGGGGGAGACAGTAAGGAGTCAGGCGTGCAGCCTGCAATCTCCTGGCTCACCTCCCAGGGCAGTGTTACTGGTGGTGGCAGCTTGATGGATGGACATGCGGGTTAGTTCATACCAAATCCTGTTAGCCTTGCAATCTACATGGAAGCGCAATGAGGAAATTAAACTGTTTATGGTCATGCACGTGGCCTGGAGAAAAGAGGAGTTGGGGGTCCCTCACCCGAAGCCACAAGGTCCCGAGTGTGCCCACACATCTGGCCACTCCCGGGTAAGGGTGGCCAACCCCGTAGCCGTCACCAGGTGCACGGTGACATCTCCTTCCAGCACCAGCCTCTTCAGACACTGCCTTCTCCACCCACTGGACCACAGCGGGAACATTTCCTAACTCGCATGCTCTGGCAATACACACGCTTCGGGGTGAGCCTACGCCAGCACGGCCAGAAGAACAAAGGGATGCTAAAATCACCCCCTGCGCTGGCAAGCACACACATGCCCAGGCCTTGCAGGCAGCTGCGACTTTGCTGAGCGCCCGTCCTTCCTTCTCCTACCACCAAGGAGAACTGCAAAGTGAGAATGCTGGGAGGAAAATAGAAACCCAAAAATGGCCCTTCAGAGACTACGACGAAGAGCCCGAAACAGGTGAAGCTAACCCTTGTTCTTACACTGATGAAGAGGAGACATATTTTCAGCAGGGGGTCTCATCTGGATAAGGGCATCATCGCTAGGCATTGAGATTTCTAAGAAACCTCTATTTAAATTTTAGTGCCGATCAGGACAGAGTATCTGAAACAAGTCTTTCCCTGTCTTGTGGTTCAGCCACATGAGCCCCCCAACCTGGCCTGTGAGGTCTCAGCAGGGAGCCTCATGCAGTGGGATGAGGGTGAAATTCGACGTGGGGGGAGTGAATCCCACAGGCAGGTGCCTGAATGCATCATCTGCCATCTGGGGCCGGGCCGGGCAGACAGGGGAGCCGGGAAGCGATGGGGAAGCGTGAGGCAGAGGAGCCGCGCGGGTGGCGTCGGGGCTGGAATGCAACCTGGGCATTGCATGCAACACGTGGAATGAATCAATGTCTCATCTTTTAATGAAACACAACAGTGAGCTGTAGGGAAAAGAAATCCAGCAACCTGCAGAGGCCATAGTCACAGGCTCAGTGTCATTGTCATTTTCAACTCCTGAATACTCTGTAGAAAAGCAAGACAAAGACAGCAGAGAAAGACCAAGAGGTTAGGGTCTTCGTTCAAAGTGGACCTTGAAAATCAGTTTTCAAGCAACCAAGCACAAAACACAAAGAGAACATTCCCTTCTTGTCTTTCTCTGGGACAAACTCCACCTGGACACAAGTGCGTGTTAATACTTGTCCCATTTCCCCAGAAGCGATACTCACCACCTCCCCCTACGCTTTGCTTGTATTCTTTTATTCCATCTTCCCACATCCTCCTTGCCAAAGCACGGATTTGATTTAAAGTAAGCAGAATAAAAGCTCATTCACTGATCTCCCCAGTCTGTGCTACTAAGTAGGACATTCCGAGGAGGCGCACCGCGGGCTGCAGCGTCGCACCAGGTATAAATAACACCGAACTCCGCACCTTTCTTCCTAACAGGAAGGCATTTTGCGCAGACAAAATGGAACAGCACACACAAGTGCCCAAAGCTTGGCATATGAAAGTGAAAGTCCCTATTTTTTGGATGCTCAAAACAAGTTTGCACCTGTCTAGATCTTAACCTCTAAGCAACAGACAAAAAAAGACATTTTAAACCAGTTTTTATGAATGGAAAGGGAGGCTCAGAGGTTGAAGAACTCACCCAGGGAAACGTAGCCCGTGGTGGGCCTGGGGACCCTACCCACCTATAACAGCTCCTCTAGCTCCCGCTCCAGTGCTCAGGGCACAGGCCTTATTGGGACGGCATGTGCCCAGCGGCTGAGACTAGAATCAACATTTTCTGGGATCGTGGCGCTGGCCTCTACAATTTGCTGGGGCACCTTTTCTGCATCGTGGGGCAAGGCCAGAGGTGTGCACAGGTGAAGCCCAGGTGAGACACAGCTCACCTGCTACCTCCACACCCCCAGGCCATTTCTGCCGACGGAGACGAAGCTGCTACAGCCAGGTCCTCCGGTGAATCCAAGGAGAGTGACCTCGAATCCACTGAAAGGAAAAAGATCTCCTCCCTGTTAGCTCCATTTTAAAGAATTTGTGTCTGTTTGATTTGGAAACTAAAGTGAATTTTTCTGGCTGGGGATGTTGAAAGGGCTGAGGTAGAAAGAGACGAAAGAAGATGAAAAGTAACTACTATCTGATGGCGGAAAATGTTGCGACATAAACAGGAACCAAAGGTGGCAAGGCAGGCCACGGCGGTTCATTTAACCAAGGCAGCAAAGGCCCCAGAATGTAAAGCAACATTTAGGTTTACACTTGTGTTTTCATTCTTACTTTTAAAAGATTTATTCAGAAATTATTGTTTAATCTGAGAAGGAAATCTGAATTAGAATTTTAGGAATATCACCTAAAAAAATTCCTGTATCCCTAATAATGTATTTTTCATTCCTCAGTCTCATGTTCCATTTTCTCATGGATGAATTTTCGCCAAAATTAGCTCTGGAAATCTGCAGGAAAATTATGAAATTCAAATTCTCCTAAAATAAGCAAATCTGTCTTGGGAATTAGGCTTTTTCATAAATTTCTAAACTAATTCAAGATACAATGTTTCTATAAGGAGAAAAAAAATAATAGAATGGTCTATTTATTAGCGATGATGGCACCTTGAAATGACAGCACAGAGTCAAGTGCAAGGGTCGGAGTGGGGGTCTCGAACCTCCAGGGTAGACCGAGGGGGTCTGTGAACTTGAATGGGGAAAAAATCACACACTTATTTCCACTAACGTCTGAAATTCAGCACATCCTTTGCTTGCAAATGTAGGCTACAGACCACAGCAGCGCTGGCCGTGCTGTGGCTGTGTCATCAGTAGAAACCACTGGTATTTTCGCATCAGGCCACGGCTGTTGCAGATGTCACAAAGCATTGTCATGAAGCCCCTTAGCACTTTGAAACTGTGGCCGTGACTGGACCTGCTGCTAAAGCTTATTCTTCATTTGTTAGTAAAGCACCGCAGGTAGTACTACCTCACAAATTCAGTCTTTTAGTACGTTGATAACTATTTCAATTTGACTGGCTGCCTTTGAAATCCTACATATTTCACAGATTATTAATAAATTATTCTGAGAAGGGGTCCAAAGGCTTCCCCAGACCACCCACGGGCTCCAGGGCACAGAAACTCTCAAGCAAGACTCCTGGTCCGGCGGCCCGAGTGTGGGCCCAGCATGCACAGGCTGCCGGGGTTCAAGTCCTAGCAACGCGACTGACCAGCTGCGTGGCCCTGGACTTGTTACTCTCTGGGCCTAAGTTTCTTCCGCTGTAAACTGTGAGGATGAAGTGATGTGACATAGAAAGTAACGGCTCACGGCCCGCAACCTAGTAAGCTCCAACAAACAGCATGGTTGAGGCCAGGCACGGTGGCTCACGCCTGTAATCCTAGCCGCTCTGGGAGGCTGAGGCAGGCGGATCCTTTGAGCTCAGGAGCTCGAGACCAGCCTGAGCAAGACTGAGACTCCATCTCTACTAAAAAAAAAAGGAAAGAAAGAAATTAGCTGGGCAACTAAAAATACATATAGAAAAAATTAGCCGGGCATGGTGGCTCACGCCTGTAGTCCCAGCTACCCAGGAGGCTGAGGCAGGAGGATCGCTTGAGCCCACAAGTGTGAGGTTGCTGTGAGCTAGGCTGACTCCATGGCACTCTAGTCCGGGGGACAGAGTGAGACTCCACCTCAAAAAAAACAAAAAACATAAAAAACCAAACAGCATGGTTGCTCGGTGGTTAGCGTGTCTCACCCCTAGTCCTTCACCAGAGGTTTCCACGGCACCCTCTCCAGACGTGGCACTTGCTGAAGGTGAACAGACCCCTCACGGTGTTTCTACAAGGTTATCAAGTGACAAGCACTTTGGAAGAGCCCTCCAGGTCCAAAGCACACTTCTGTCTGGGTCCTTTATTTGATCGTTGACTGTTGCTTCTTTGTCCTTGTGAACTTTTCAATAAACAGATTAATTTATAAATTCATTCCCCAATCACGCTGTCTGTGCAACGCTCCCTCCCAGGTTCCCAGGAAAGGTGACGGTGTGTTTCAGTCCCATAACACACCTTTCCTGCACGACCAAGGACAGAGCTATGCTAGCGTAGGGCATCAGCAGTGTCCCCAAAAAGGCTATGCACAGGACGGGGGGGAAGACAAAAGAAATGAGGATAAAGGCTGTAAAATACTGGTAAGAGCCTGCTGTCACCAAAACAGTGAGGGCTATTACTAATTCCTGGGACTTGGGCGGGGATGCCAGCGGTGGAGTACCCTTACCTTGCCAGCACGCCCCAACCACAAGCTGAGTTTCTATCTTGGATGGATGAAGTGGGTAATCCTCAGTCACAGAGAAGGGCTCATGAGAAACACCGTCCACGTAGAGAGTCACACTTGGGAATTCCACGTTGAGGACATAGTGGTGCCACTGCTCATCACAGACCTACCAGAGGCCAAGGGAAGGGTTAGGGGCTTGAAATGCCAACTTCCCTCTCATCCACGACGAACGGTCACACGAGGAATGTAATACAACTGGGTGTGGGAAACAAGTCACCATGTGAATATCTGTCTTCCTTAAAAGGAAAAGGATTGAACGATAAGAAGGCCAGGCGTGGTGGCTCACACCTGTAATCCTAGCACTCTGGGAGGCAGAGGTGGGAAGATCACTTGAGGCCAGGAAGTTCAAGACCAGCCTGAGCAAGAATGAGATCCCATCTCTACAAAAAATAGAAAAATTAGGTGGCATGTGCCTGTAGTCCCAGCTAGTCAGGAGGCTGAGGCAGGAGGATCGCTTGAGCCCAGGAGTTTGAAGCTGCAGTGAGCTATGATGACACCACTGGGCAACAAAGGAAGACCCTGTTCTCTAGAAAAACAAACAAAATATATACATATATATATAAACAAAATATTTATATATATATAAAACAACAAAATATCTGCAAATACATCTCACCAAAAAGGGCCAAGGCAACACTGTCATCTCTAAGGCATTTCAAACTAGGTTGCATTCACTGCTCCCTCATCACAGGGCAGAGCCCCAGACGGGATGGCTGGGTTCTCCTCTGCCCATAGCACGACACCAGCTCTCTGAAGGGCTGAGTTAGTCTGCCAACTGGCCATGCCCTTTCTGGATCAAAATAAAAAGCACCTCCAATCTCAGAATAAGGTAAACTATAGTACATGTATTTTCCTTTTCAATTCCAAGTTGATAACCTAAATAAATATGAACATACAGCTAGACGACATGCCAAATTAAACCGACGTTCCTTCCTGGCATGAATGAGCACCACGAACATATTTCAGCCAACTGCAGTGTATGGCCCCCTATTTGGATTGTGATTCAAACAAACTGTAAAAGCAAAAACATTTATGATACAATATGAAATATGAACACTAGATATTGGATGATATTAAATTTTATTGTTCGTTCTTAAGATGTGAAAAAAGCATTGTGATTATGCTTATCTATTAGAGATACATAATGAAACATACATGTCTGCAGAGAAAGAAATGGTCTACTATCTGGGATTTCCTAAAAATTAAGTAATTTTTGAGTGGGTAATAAAAGTTGTTAACAGTGAGTGGGGCTAACAGTGAAAGAAACAAGGCTGAGCGTGAGTTCAGAATTATCGAAGCTACGTACAGGGTACACACAGGGCTTTTCTTTATACTGATATGTCTGTTTTTTTATTTATGTCTGAAATTTTCCATATTAAAGTTTTTTTTTTCTTTTGGAAACCAATTTAAAACTTTTACTTGTTTATTACAGGAATTGCATAACTTATTCAGTGATGTCCTCTGAATTCCTCCTAACACCACAGAAAATGGGGAAACTTCCATGGCAGCCTATTAAACAAATTCCAGTTTGGTTCATGGTTTCATGTTTTTAATCAAAGACTGTGGAGACACTATAGTTGAGTCCATATTAAAAATTTTAAAAAGCCTGTAATTAGAAGAAACTGAATATGTAAATACAGACTATGGTTACTCTAACAGAACTGTACCTCAAACATCTACCTGCGCTGTAAAATATTTTTTCCAGACTATATTTTTCTTTAGTTTCTTGAAAAAAATTATAGTGGAAGTTCCTGAGAATTATTTATGTAAATAAAAATGCCATCAATAAGAAATGAATGCTGCCAACTGGACACACTCTTTTCCCTTCTCATTTAGGCTCTTCCATTTTTATCTGTTAACATCTTGTAACTATTTTAGACAATGTTACATTTTAGCAACTACAGGTACATATAAGAGTATGTCAGCTTTTGACAAATAATTCCACGAGCCAAACAAAATGAAGCTAAAACCAAAGGTTCCCTTCTTGTCCCTGCATCAAGAGAAGAAATGATCTGTTCTGATTTTAATGAGGCTTCCTTGGGTTACAGCACCCCCTCATTTCCTGTAACACATGGGTTTTTTCACATGATAATTGCTTTTTATCACAGCAACTGCTGGAAAATTAGTTTTGCAAGGACATGACATCATCGAAGGGAATGTAATGTGATCTCAGGTCAAAACTGTAAACTAGCTCAAGCACTAGGAGTTTGTGTGCTACCTGAAAGACGTCAAGATTACTGGTTCCTTGAAAATTTTGAATATCCTGTGATGCCCCTGAATACTGCTGAGCCAACAGGGCTCCTCGGCATAGTTTGGAAGTCAAGGCCTTAAATAATGAATAAATAAAACCAAGGATCTCAATTCCAAATTTTTAAGCAAATACTGCTTATTTCAATAAACTATAATAGTATTTTGAATTTAAAATACACATTTTTTAATGTCAATTCTTTGTGTATAAAATACATGTAAAAAAAACTTAGGTTTTCAGTAGAAAGGCATTAAACAATTTAATTTGTTAATCTATTACCCAAAGACACAGGAATCATAAAATCACAAATATACACTGACTATAAACAGTCAGTCATGTGCAAAGTTGCAGGATGTAGTTAATTTCTCTTAAAAGATCATAATTAGTGAGAGTGCCATTCGCGCACCTGATTCAACTTCCAGTGGAATTCCGCAGGTTTGTATTTCTTCTCCTCGGAAGGATCCTGGCGGAGCAGGAAGATAAGCCGGCACCCGTGGACGTAGAGTGAGTAGCGGTGCCGGTTCATATCTGCAAAGGCAGTTTCTCTGGGTAAATTGCCAGCTTAGGACCCACGGGAGAAGTAAAGGCTATTTCTTGAACGGATTTGGAAGACACGATTTTTTTCTGCACAAACTCCCCGCTGGGCCACGGCAGGGTTTGGAAGCAAACACGCTTGGGTTTTGCCGAGAAGCTGGGCCCGTGACAACTGCTGACGATGCACTGAGTAAAAACTAACAGGTCCCGAGTGCCGAAGGGTCTCCCAAGGACAAAGGGCCCCTCGCACGACATGCAGAACAGTGTCTATGACCAGCCAGCCTGCGGGAGGCTTTGGGGGAAGGAGGAGGCGCCTGTCTCCAGCGACTGCCCCACCGGACTGGGGCATGACAGCGAACCCACCTGCTTTGTCTGAACTGCAAAGAATCGTCTCCTTCTTCCTGCCGAAAGGCCCGTGTCTCATCCACACAGAAATCGTAAAAGGCTCTTTCGGGTTGACCGAGACAATGCCGTCCGGGACCCTCACTGCTTGAGTGCCGTTGAATTCAAAGACCTGGTCACTGTCGTGGCCGTTGTCGGTGGGGAGCCCAACGGTCCAGTTCGCGGCGCTGCTCGGGGAAGGAAGCAGCTCGGCCGTGCCAGAGGCAGCACCTGGAACCACAATACCCAGTGTGGATGGCATGAGGGACTGGGAAGGCACATACGCATTGCAAACCACGCTAAGGCCCTACCTTACGGTGATACAACTTGCTAGTCCCGGTTGACTTTCCTCAAAAATAAGAGTTTTCATTACAAAATAATAACCCCCGTTTTAAAGCATTTCTTGTAACCCCAGCCAAATACATACCATTTGGGAATAAACACTTCCAATCTTCTCTTTATAAATATATACACACATAATGTATTTTTTAATAAAAATGGAGTCCTGCTATATACATAATGCACATATAATCTTATTGATATTATTCTACAGCATAATTTAAAATGTCTGAATATAATTTCCTTGCACCGTAATTTACTTATCCCATCTCCCTGTGGAGCCTGAAGCTGCTCCTAGTTTTTTCCTGTTATAAACCTCGCCTTCATGGGTGCCTGTGTGTGTGTCCATCATTATTCCCTTAGGATAAATTCCTAGAAATAAATTTACTAAATCAAAGAACCTAAAAAAGCTGTTTTTTTTTTTTTTTTTT